CGTCTTCCGCCCCCTGACCTCCCTCTCTATCTCGGTTGTCTCGCTCTTCCAAGCCCGCCGCCTCCCGAACGAAATCATGCTCTTCAACTTCAACATGCTCACCATGATCATGACTGCGCAAAATATCACGTCCCTGGAGCTCGGCGCGGATACCCTGGCGGGCATTACATCGCCATTCCCGTTCGAGGACTTCAGGTTCCCCGCTCTGACGTCGTTTGCGCTGAATACAATCTTATTCGCGGGGCTCCCCGACGACGACCGGCTGTCCTCGGCCGAGAAGGGCCCATCAATCTTCCCGGATGTCTCCGGCCAGCCGCTCACAGTCGAGATGTTCATCCTGAACCACAAAGCCACCCTGCAGCGCATCGCGCTACACGACTGCGCCATTGCCCTGCCTGATGGGGTGTGGCACCGCGTGTTCCGACGCTTTCGCGTCCAGCTACCAGCGCTGGTCGAGTTTGAGTGGCTCACTGACGATTCGGAGCAAAGGGGAAACTTCCTCTACGCCCGTTCGGTGGGGGCTCTCCAGACGTACACAGTGGTGGAGGAAGATTTTTTATCGGACGATCCACAGGATGTCGCCTCATTGGACGACCTCCAGTCGGCGGTTCTGGACAGGAAAAACGGCAGACTGTTCTGAGGAACATTTGCGGTAGAGAACTAGAACAGCAGAAAAAATGTACATACTTGGTCCTGTCGATTGTAAAACAACATAAAAACCACAAAATATCTGGGCGCTAAAATGACATATTTAGACGCCACATGTTGGTTGTCTTCTCCCCACCACAGCCCACCACTCGGCATCCGCGAGGAAGTTTTCCCCTTCTCTCTTTTGCCAGCATCTGCGTAGAGTTCTTTTGGAGTTCTCCATCTCATGATCTCCCGCTGGCATTTCCCCCAGCGCCTGGCCAGGGGCGTTGAGACGGACTGGTACATCGCAACGAATCCCCGCGCAGCATCCCTTACGCGCGCCTGAGCCCAAGATCTCTCGGGTTCCCCGGTGGAAGTCGTCGTCGTGGCCCAGGCTGTGGGGACCCAAAAGCGTGCTGCGGAGGCATGGAATTGCCCCTTATGCTTCCGATTCTTGGGAGGTCCGCTACCTGATCCATGCGCTGGTGCCTGCATGAAGTCTCATGTTCTCGTGTTCTCGTGTGGGAGGCAGGATAATAGCCGAGTTCGCGGCGTCGGTGAAGATACTGCGCAAGGACTACGTCTCGAAAACTCAAACGCGACGGCGGTCGGAACTTCGAGGTGGATCTGGAACTTGGGAACTGTGCAAAGGTGAGGAAACCTTTATCTATCTCTTGGACTTGGTTATTTGTTACTTCAGAGGGCTCCGGCCCGATGAGACTACATTTTCCACCAAGATCTCTGATGCCTTCTCCGCTTCAATGTTTGCTGACCACGGTTTCCTTCAGATCCTTCAGGATTCAAGAAAAAATGCTCCTTTCTGCCGACGAACAACCTTGCGCCGTCTCTTGGTGACTGCAAAAGCGATATCTTTCGGGCCTGTCGGATGCTTATTCTCGCTTTTTCGTACGAAACGAGGCGTCCTTCCACTAATCCGCGCCGATTCATCTGAATAACTCGCACGGGGAAGAGCGTCGTTTATCCACTGGGCATTGGCTGGCCAGAGCTGGCCTGGATTCTCCGGTGCAAATCACGGCCGCCAACGACTGCCCGACCGTTGGCCAAATCCCACGCGGGTTCTCATGCCGCCATAAACCTCGTCTCGATCCTGATCTTTGTGGAGCTCCATGTAATCGATACCTGTGTCCGGAAACGTTATTTGGAGGTCACCTGCTCTCAGGATACGTGTGCATTGGCATTGCGCTACAAGTAAGTAGTTCATCAAGAGATTTTTCACGAAACTATGAATATGCTTCTGTTCCTGCGATCCATTCTTGGTATCCTGATGTAGTGGAGTGACACAATCTCAGGGAGCAAATCTGTGATCTATCAAACCGGTGGAATGAAAGCGAACTGTGCGCTCGAATACTAAGATGCAATGTGGTCCAGCTATTCTCGGCACCTGACATTGGCCTTTGTCCCCTCATGTTTTTCTCGCAGTGGGGCTAATAAACGAGTTTATGCGAGCAGACTATACCTCCGTTAATTGAATGCGCACCGCCACTGAACAGAGTTATGTTCCGTGTTCGATCTGCGGGGTATTCTTGATTGCATGTGATTCTGGTCTTGGTCCGTGCGCGCATTTCTTCGCGGTCAGCCACTCTGCCTTATTCAACACTGCCACCCGCGAAATCTATAAAGGAGTGACCCACTTCCGTCCCATCTCCATCCTCTGCTGTTCCACCTCTCTCCCGCTCTTCCACCTTCTTTCATGCTCTTCCACCTTCTCTCCAGCCCGGGCTCCCCTCTCGGTGCGTCCTCCCTCTCCCCTCCCCCTTGACTGACCTCCCAGATCGTGGGAGACGCGCGAGACCGGTCTCAGTCGATGCTAGTCGTCGAGGGCGGAAGCGACTTGGTCTTTATCCTGGGCGCGTCAAGTGCCCGGTATCGACCCTGCGCGACCGTCAACCAGGCCGGAGTGGCCTATGGTCGGCATCCCACACAATGCCCGTTGCGTTCTCTAGCGACAGCCGGCGACTTGGGTCCCCGAGGTGAGACTTCTCCTACCCCGTTCGTCGCGCCGTGTACTCACTCTCTCTTTTGCAGTCGCTGAGGGCAGCCGGGAGGAAGCGGCCCCTTTCCCACCGTCGACTCAGCGTACCAGGTCTGTTTCGCGGCACGTCGTGGGCCCGGAACACAAACTGGCGGCTCTGCAGGCGCGTGAAGGGTGTTCGCACCGTACCAGGCCATTTGGTCAGGGTCCGCAGCCTTCGTAGGGTGGTCTGGCAAGCCCCCTCTGTGCGTCGCTCCTTCTCTTCTCATCATTCCTCGCTGACTCGCCTTGACAGAGCCTGGAGTGATTGGGCCGTACCACCGTCGAGAGCGTACCAGACTTGTTTCGCGGCCTGTAGGGGTCTGGAACACCTGCTGGCGGCTCTGCCGACGCGTGAAGGGTGTGGCCAGCAGTGCCTGCCGAAGCAGACCTTCGAGTCAGCGGCCGTATACATATCCTCCTTAGGGTGGTGTGGCGATCCCCTCCGGTACGTTTTCTTCTTCTTCTTCCCTTTTTATCGTCCTGTGGCTGACTCGTTCGTTTCAGACCGGCAGCCGTAACGACACGGTCATCAAGATTCCTGGGGGTGGGCTCGCAACCCTCGTGCACCCTTGTCGTGGGCCCCCAGGCCTAATCCCTTCGGGGCAACTAATAGCACGTTAATTTGTAGGGTTTGTATTTTCTGCTTTCTCTTCGTCTACTTTGCGCGCAATGTACCACTCGAATAAATGTATTTTGGCCTTCTCTTTCCGCGTGCACCTGAGCTCGCTCACACCGATATCCGCAGCTTATTCTCTTCCACTTTCTTGAGTTTTGGCGACCGCGAATTGTCTTGCGTTGAAGTGGTTCCAAATGCGGACTCGCGCCATCGCTTGACTCAGATATCTCTCGTCTCTCTCACCAACCAGCACTAACCTCACGCATTCGATGGACGGGGCCGACGACTAGCAACATCTCCACGACACTGGTTTCATCCTCAGGTCTCCCATTCCTGTTCTCGGAACGGCTGCGGAGGCGGTATTGTCATTTTTCAAGCTGGACGGGCGCTGGTAGAAATTGCGGAACTTTCGTTGGAATCGGTGCGCATCCAGCATTCATTCCTACGGATACCAAGAACATATGACCCGAGGGAGCGTCGGCGTCGACCTGCGTCGAGCTCTTTTGCCTTGCGAACTTACCGATCAGCAAATTGAAGATTGCAGGCGACGTCCTTCATTTTGTCCTATCGAGCGTTTGCGCGTCGCAATTAGCCCTCTACGCTCTTGGCGTGGCTCATAAGGACACCGCGCTGCTCGCAATCTACACACGCCCGCAGATCCGGTGCTTGGACTCGACGCTCACCGGTTGAGAGATGATTGCAGGTGCGCACCTCCCACCATTCTCATGATCCTGCCAATACTGACCCCGTTCGCTTATCGACGGGTGGTGCTCCAGGCAAGTGCGAACGGGGGCTCAGCGTATTCGTGGTGCCGAAGACCTCACAAGCCGGATAAAGAGATTACTTGACGACTACCTTCAACTGCAATGAGATGGAACAATGCTCAAGATCTTCCAGGATCGCATCCATGCATGCCCGATCCACCGTACAAGCTCTACTGCTAACTGACGCGCCTGTTTCATCTGGGCCTTTCCTCTTCGCCTCCCGCTACGTCGCGGTTCATCTCCCGATCTCTTACCTCGAGGATCTCCCGCTCCCGTAGCTCAGCGGCTCGCCCTCGCTCGACCATGTCTTTGTGCGCTAGCATTCATCCTTCAAGTTCGAGGCGAATTTTCTCCATTCATATGCATCTCCGAACCGGCATCTGCACCTCCACATCCTATATTGTAAACACCTGCGCATCTTGAGTAACGTCTGGACTCCGGTATGCGACGCGTTCACGCTCAAGGGCTCTCCTCAACATGCTCACCAAAAGGCGGCACTTCCTCTCAGAGATGTGCAGTTCTCGGGATTTACTTTCGCGACATTTGGCGGGAGGCACCCGCGCTCGTGTTCCGCCCGTCGAACGATCTGAACAGCATCTCGTCGGCGTCCGAGGCAACAGTGAAGCAGGAACGCGTTCGCGCGCCCGATTCTCCGACCTTCCGTCTATATACTTGAGTATGATAACTAGACGAACTACACTACTATTTTCTATGTCTTTGGATGTACTCTCGTCGTTATGAATGTCCCTTGCCGAATTTAATGCGTCCTGCATATTTTGCGTCCGCGGAGGCAAAATATCATCCCAACCCGATCGGGCAATTGATTTTCCCGATGTAGCATTGAGCACTCCGCTGCGCGACTACCGAGCACTCCGTCGTGCGTTGAGAAGTATAAATAATACTCCGACGACGAGCTGACTAATTGATATGCAAAAATGTGACATATGAAAGCCCATGCTTGCGCCGAGAATCGAACTCGGACCCCCGCCTGAGACGTGAGAAATATCTGAATCTTACGATGGAGCGGTGCTCTCCCATTAAACCACACCCATTAAACCACACAAGCTTGCTTAAGTTGAATCAGTATTAGGCCGAGTAGGAGAAACTTGAGGGACGCGATACGAAAAAGATTATTTGAGTATCCCAATGTTTGCGCCGAGAGTCGAACTCGGGTTTCCACTTGAAACCTGTTCAACCTCCAAATTTGAAGTGGTGCTCTCCCATTAAGCTACGCAAGCTTCCCTAAGCTGAACCAGTGTTGGGTTAATAGAGAGAAACTGGAGCGACGGAACATGGAAAAAGTATGTCAACCGAAGGGCTTGCGCCGAGAGTCGAACTCGGATACCCGCTTGAATCACCCGCTTTCACATGAATTGTGGAGCGGTGCTTTCCCATTAAGCTACGCAAGCTTTTTTACATCCAGCCAGTATCGGGTTGAGTAGGAGAAATTGGGGAGACGCAACACGAAAAAGAAATTGCTTGAATCCGAACGCTTGCGCCGAGAGTCGAACTCGGATCTCCACTGGAAACTTTATAGACAACAGACTCTAATTTGAAGCGGTGCTCTCCCATTAAACTACGCAAGCTTCCTTACATTGAACCAGCATCGGGTTGAGTAGGAGAAACTGAAGTGGAGGGACACAACATAACAAAACGGTTCGAAAGCATTGCATTGCAAGCCTCAGGTGCTATGTACTGATATAGCCGTCGTCGGAATGTAGGGTAGGTATGTAGTGCCCACAGCCAATACACTGAGAGCGTATGTAGTCGGGCCCGCGGGGGGAAGAAGAAGTAGCTCGGAAATCTAAGGAGAACTTGGACTAGCGGCGAACTAGAAGAGAAGTGCTAGCGTCCGATGAGACGGACTTGGAAGAGAAAGCGGGGTTGTGCTGATGTCATGGGTGGGCCGGAGAGACTCTTGGAGGAAGTAGTAAGGAGCATCGCATCCCGCAGCACAACGGGAGTTCCAGTGTTGTCATGAAACGGAAAACGGTTGAGGATCAAATAAGTCTGTAGAGAGAATAGGTGGTAGCATTGGAACCTCGTTCAGACTTAAGAGCGCGGTGGTAGGTGGCTCTCTAGAGCTCTGCATTCTTGCATTCTTGGGTAAATGCCGGGAGGATGTAGTTGCCGGGGTGGTGCTATTAAGTAGCTATCATTAGTTCGGCCGCATTTGGTTCGTTCATTAACTCCAGGTCCGTGCCAGGGTGTGATAGTGAGTCGGGGCGTTGATTTCATTGAGATTGGGGGCGAGTCGGCGAAGGTTGCCACTGGGCTTTGAACAAGTACTACGAGCCAAGGTGGGTGGCCCAGGAGATCTAATCTAGGAGAGTAATTGGCTAGATTGCAGCAGGCGCCACCAGAGGCGATGTGCACAGCACGTAGTAGATACGCCGGTGGTTGGCCGGTGGTGTGGGTCCGCAGAAAGCGGCATGAGGAGCGGCGGGTAGCTCCGGTGGTCCGGACTTGCCTTATTGGGAAGGTTGGCACAACAAAGCCATACAACACTCCGCCGTTGACCGCTTTCATGCCAGCTGAGAGAGCCCAGTAAGTCGTGGAACTTCCTTGCTGTTGTGCTCGATCGCGAAGGAATCCAGTGAGGCCGCTCCATGTTTTTTTTTCTTCGTGCGGGATGTACACAGTATTTGGATTAATGCATGAGATCTGTCTAGATCTATCAATACGCGCCAGGTACAACGGGGGTACATAAGCTAAACCCCGTTTGCTTTGGGGCCCCAGCTATCCACGCGGAGTTGTAGAAGAGGTGCTTTGCAGCGAGGAAAGCGACGCAGCGACGTTGATGGACGTTGTTCCTGGGAGATTTGCAGTCCCTTTCAAGGGTTCCTTGTACTCTCATCCTCGGGATTAGAAGGATCAGTGCTTCTCGATAGAAGCATTTGGCGTTTGTACCGCATCAGTGTATGTAGTCTGAAAGGGGAAAGCATCTCAAAGCGCCATTGCAAAGCTCTCTATCCTCCACCACCACCACCATTCTCTCCCATTGTCCTCTACATTCCTAAGGTGGCCCACGCCCACCTACAAATGGCCGCAATGGATGTCGCCCGCTCGCGTTCCCAGCTGCCCTCTTCCCCCCCATCCGCGACCAGCGCCAGCTTCCTAGCAGCGACCCCAGAGCCCCATTACAGACTATCCAGACTAAACTCACCACCCCCCGCCGCAGCCCTGCGTCCGCCATCCATTATCGCCCGCTCAGTGTCAGCCGGCATGACTTTTTCGTTCAAGAAAGAGCCCAGAGAAAAGGAAAAACAGAGAGAGAAGGACCTCCACCTCCACCCGCGCGCGCCCTCGCCCGACGACCGGCCTCAGAGCCGCTTTGGTTTCACGCTGCGCAAGAAGGTCTCGCTCGCGTCGCTCTTGAACAGTAGCAGCAGCAGCGCGCACGCTGACGAACCGACCTCGTCCCGCACTTCGTCTTCCTCAGGTGGTGGCCACCCCGCCGCCGCCGCCCCGCCCATTGAGGAGGCCCCAAAGGCCCCCGCCCCGGCCCCAGTACCCCGCGAGGAGGAGGCCAGTGACGGTGACGAGGACGTCCACGCGCCGGTCCGCTTCGTCAAGAAGAGTGTCTGGCGCACCCGCAATAAGATGAAGCTCCACCCGTATCCCGATGCCCCCTACATGCAGGCTTACGACCCCATCGTCCTCGAGAAGTACGTCTCTTATTTTTTATACAAAAAAATCCTCCGCTTTTCACATGCAAGAACTAATCACGCCACAGTGAGCGTGCGACGCATCACCTGCTGCGACGGCTCTCCCCCGTGGGCTCGCCAACCTTCCACAACTACGCGGGCCGCCCCCCGCCTTCACGCGCCCTCGACCTCGGCTGTGGCGCGGGCTTCTGGCTCCTCGACGCCGCGCGCACGTGGCGCACCTCCCAGATCGTCGGCCTCGACCTCGTCAACGTCGCCCTCCCCCCGCTCACGGACGGCTCGCTCCCCAACGTGCGCCTCGTGCGCGGCGACTTCCTCAAATACGCGCTGCCCTTCGGTGACGGCGCGTTCGAGCTCGTGCGCATGGCGAATCTTGGCTTGTGCGTGCCCACCGTGGCGTGGGACGGGCTCTTCCGCGAGGTGTGGCGCGTCCTTGCCCCCGGCGGCCGTCTCGAGCTCGTCGACGACCAGGTGTTCTTTCCATATGGAGGCGTACCCGTTGAGGAGATCGAGTCGGAGCCGGAGATGGAGGTGGAGGCCGGGCCCGAGGAGTCGGCAGCACCACCCGCCACCACGCCGCTGCTGTCCCCAAGCACCCCCCGCCCGCCACCGCCCACACCCGATGTCTCGGCGTTCTTCGACTCGTCCGACGAGGAGAGCGACGGTGAGGAGATGGCCACCCCGCCTCAGGTGAACAGCGACGACGACGAGCTCTTCCTCGCGCCCACCCCCGACTCAGCGTCTGAGCGCTCGTCTCGCTCCTCCAGCGACTCCACCTCCTTCAACGACACCGCCTCGACGCTCATCGGCTCCGCCTCCGAGCGCGGCTCGCTCGAGCTCCTCAAGTCCGAGTTCACTAAGCACTCGAGCGCGCCGCAGCTTGATGTCGACTTTGAGCGCGCCATTGCGCATCGGCCGTTCAGCGGCGTCGAGCACCTCGTCATCGCGATCCCTTCGCCGTCGGAGCCGCTGCCCACCATCGATGTCACCCTTGACGCGGATCTAGAGGGCCCGCTAACGCCGGTCCCGCCCCCTGCGCCGCCCGTCGAGACGGTATCGACACCCCTCGCCACGCAGCCGCCGTCCAGCAGCGGACTGCCGTTCCCCACCACCTCCGCCACGCCGACTCCCAGCGTGGCCGCGGACGAACTCGCACCCCCGACACCCACCGAGTCCGAGCATGAGTTTGCGCTGGGCACGGGCCCATGGAGCACGCAGGCGGCGGCGGCGCGCGACCTCGAGCGCGTGTACACGCGCATGCTCACGTCGCGCTACGGGCTGCACGTGCGGCCCGCGGCGCTCGCGATCCCGCTGCTCGCGCGCGTGTTCTGCGCGGGGCGCACGGGGCGCGTCGAGCGGCCGACGAGCTTCCATTTGAAGCTCGCGCCGGTGGAGCTGGCGGAGGAGGTGGGGCGGTGGGAGGAGTGGGAGCGAGAGAAGGAGGAGCAGGAGCGGAGGGAGAGGGAGAAGGAGCTCAAGGAGAGGGAGAAGGAGAAGGGCAGCCTGAGGGGGAAGGGAGGGAAGAAGGAGTGGGTGAATGAGACGCCGATCCCGCAGGGGTTGAGCGCGAAGGCGGCGGAGCGACTTGGGATTGTGGGCGCCGGGGTGCCGCAGGTGCGGCGGCAGCCGACGTTCCTCGAGAGCCCCGTGGAGAGCGACGAGGACGACGAGAACGATGAGTCGGAGGGGAGCGGATCGGAGCAGCCGGAGAGGGGCGCGTCGACGTGGGTGCCGCCGAGCGAGTGGGACGCGCCGCCGCTGAGTGCGGGATGGCAGGAGAGCCTCGAAGGGTCGTCGAGCAGCAAGACGATCACGGCAGCGGCGAGCGCCCGGACGATCACCGCTGCCTCCAGCACGAAGACGCTCACCGTCGCCTCCACTTCTACCACCGTCATCCCGCCACCGCGCACGGAGTCGCCCTTACCCCTACCGCAACCGCGGACGCCGACGATGACGCACACGCGCGGCGGCTCGACCACCTCGAACATGTCCGCCGCGTCGTCCGCGTCATCCGTGTCGTCTGCGTCGTCCGGCGCGTGCTCGGTGACGGGCCCGCAGGGCGTCGCGAACAGGCGCGCGCAGCACCCGGGCCTGCTGCTGTGGCCCGGGACGTTCATCCCGCTGCCGCCCGCAGAGCTCGAGCTGCACGCGACGAAGCACATGCAGACGCTCCTCGGGTGCAAGCCTGCGCTCGCTGAGTTTGTCGGGACGTTTGTTGACAATGCGTCGGGCACGCGCGTCGTTTCGGAGGATGCCTTCGAGGACGCAGTGTGGGAGTATGAGTGGTACGTTCTTCCTTTCTCTCGTTGTTTCGTTTGTTGATGGATTACTTTGTTGCAGCTTCCGCCGCCCGCGGTTCAACTGGCCGGATCTGCAGCTGGACAGCGAGGAGGAGATGCCTGACATGCCGACGCCCGCGTCTGCACGGAGCGCGCACCACGTCATCCCCCGCACGCCGACGTTCCCCGACGCCAAGGACACGATGGTGGTCGGCCCGTACCGCAGCGGTGACCTCACGCATGTGCGCACCTTCCGCGTCTTTGGCGCGGTCAAGGGCGTCGCCGCGCCTGCCCTCTAGGCTCCGCGTCCTTCCTCCCCTTCATCCTTCGCATTCACAAACCTCCGCCTTCGCCTTCGCATTCTCCTTCATCTACGCCCCACGCCTTACGAACCTCACGATCCACGCCCCTGCTTAGACACGACCCTCCGCATCTGCATGTTCCGGCGCACTCTCATTTATTTTCTGCTCTCGCATTCTTCCTCACCCTCCCCCTCATCGCATCGGATTCCGTATCTTATTTTGTTTATCGTAGATTAGTAACATACGTAGTTTTATTGTCCAATGCAATTGTAAAATAATTGGTGCGAGCGGATATGCACTATATGTATTGTTCCGCTCTCCCATTGAGCGAATGTGG